ATTCTACGCAGGATGTGCTCATTATTTCCAAAATCCTGCTGTCTACTGGTTTGGTTTGGCCAGTCACTTTAAATTCAAACTAAACCATCACATAACACAGCTAACCTATGCCATGCTGAACTCAGCTAGGGGAGAACAAGAATATTTATCTTGCTTTATTCTTTTTTTAGTCATGTCAGCCTTTTGCTCTTTTCATTGCCATTTTAATTTATATATTTTTCCTATTTTTTTTATTCATTCATTTTTGATAACCTGTAAATCTCTCGGTTCAAAAATAATCCAACACTTTTGCTCAGTGTTCTCTGTGCACATTTTCTGTGCTGCTTTCTCCACAGGCTGCTTTACCATTATACCAAAAAAAATGGATTTGTGTGAGCAAGGCATTTTAAACTGTGCAGGGTTTTCATTCATTTTCAGTTCAGCCACTTTATCATGCAAATTGAAAATATAATCCTTTTGCTAGGTTTTTGTCAGATACGCCTTACATGCTAAAAGTTACATGGTGTTTACATTTTTTGTAGAACAGACTTGGAAACCAATCTTTAAAAGAGCTCTGGCATATGGTACTATACTGTAATAATTATTTGTCTTTAGTTTAGTTTCAGATTATTATGGCTTTTTGCCTTATTAGATAGGACAGTCTAAGTGTGAAAGAGGGAGCGAGAGGGGATGACAGCAAAGGGCCACAAGATCGAATTGACCCTACAGCCGCTGCAGCAAGGACATAGCCTTTGTACATCAGATGCCTTGCTCTACTTTGTGAGCTACTGGGCGCCCTGACTGTGATTATAGTTTAAATACAGTTTTAAGATATAATGCTGGCTGCAGACACAAGACCTTCTGTTACAACCCAGCTCGCAGGGGAAAGGGAGGCAACACAAAAACCCAGATGTTAAAGGTAAGGCAGTTTATTGCAACTCAAATGAAGGAAGTCTGGTTAACAAAGAACTGAGAACAAACCAAGGAAGAGGGCCGGTGGGTGCTATTTAACTCAAAAAACAAATATAACAGCACATATACATATATACACATATAACAAAAGGAGGACTCACTCAGAGTTTAATCTACAATCTGTCTAATCAAAAAATAAAAGGGAAAACAAACACTGACTGTCTAATGCAGCTTTTAAAACAAACAACAACAAAACAGCACCCCTGCACCTAGTGTCTCTATACAGGTAATTGTCTAAGTGTGGATGGAAATGTTTGGAATCAGTCAAAAGGGTAGCAATTTCTAACAACCTGGCCACACTTCAGAAGTTCACAAAAATCTACAAAAGCTTATGACAAGCTACAAATGCTATCAGTGGGCTAACCAACACAACACAAAGTTATCAGGCAAAGAGGCAAGCTGCCACCAACAGTCAGCCACCCAGACTGACAGACTGGCAGGGCACTTATAGATGACGGTCTTGATTGAATGGCTGGGATTGGTCCACTGCACCTGTGCCGCACCAATCAGGGACCCAGGTGAGCTGTGGATTGGTCAGTCAGAAGCAGCAGAGGCCGCACCAATCAGAACAGAGGAGGTGGAGCTTCTGAGTCCAGTGGAGGTGCAGGCAGCTCGGCACACAGAGGGAAAAATTAGTGTTGCATACACACACACACACACAATGAAAGTGGAAAGAGCGGCGACCGTAACACCTTCTATATTGGAACATGGAATTTCACGAGTGTCAATGTTCATGTATAACTCCAAAGCTTGTCCAGATTTGTCTCAGTTCACACTCATTTTCTCTGGCCCTGTCCCAGTCTAAGGTAATTTCCTCTGAGGTTCAAGCTGTGAATACTCAAGTATCAGAAGCTAACACTGAGTTCACTTCACAAGACACTGGCTTTAAAATAATCCTCCCCCCAGACCACAGGACAGTTAACAGCGGGGGGCTGGAGGTAAATTAAATGGTCAGCTGTCATTGTAATTGACTGTTCGCTATACTCCTCCCTTAAACAGTGATTGTCCAATCACAGTTTAGCAACCATGACTATAGTGACAGGTTTGTCAAGCTTTGGTTTTCTACACATGTTGACGTGGTCTGCATGGGACTGTAGTAAGAGACATCCTAGGTATAGAAAGAGTTTGGAGGGTGGTTTCTTTTTTATTGCCTTTCCAAAAAATAGCAGAATTGTAATGAATGGATTAAATGAGTTTATCTACTCTAACATAAGTGTCTAATATGAGCATGCCTAGCTAACTGGTTACTTAAGATAAATGCATCTGATTGGATTAACACGCTGATAGTTGGGTGGTCCTCTGTTTTCCGCCTGCCATTTCAAACAGGAAACAACATGGCTGCCTGCTCAAAAACCTTCTGATATTATGTATATTAATATTATATGTCCATCTAGACAACAGTCTAAAACAATTTAAAATTTTAAAATATATTTCTTAAAACATTTGAGTGAAGAAATTAGCAATGCCACTGCTATATCGTTTCTTTTTAGAACCTCATCGCTTAGTTTGACAGTCACATCGGGCTGGCAGACTAATTTGCATAAAGTTCAATCAAGTCTACTTTATGCAAATACAGACCCAAGAATACATCACACCCCCTCTTCTACACTAGCCTCAACTCTCCCATCATGCACTGCGCAACTGCCTCCCCTGCTCTCCATTGGATTGGATCAATTGAAAGTTTCGAGATGCCCCCCATCGCCAAATCTGGTGGAAATGCAACATTGGACTCAGTCTTTTTTGCGCCATTACGATGTGCTAAGTTAGCATAATGTGATGTATAGTATGCAACCATCACATGCATATTGAAGACCATTTTGCAGATCTCATATTTTCTTGTGAGTGAGTTAGCAAGAGAACATAAAATTTAGCCAGAGATGGAGGGTCCACTCACCTCACAGAGTTAATGTCAGCTACCTACATTAAAGAAAATTTGTCAGTTCTCATTTCAGCCAGTAAAAATAGATTTCACTTGCTGAAATGAAAAAAAATGCTTTTGTCTAAAATCGAGGTTAAGTTACCACAATTTACAATTGATATTTTAAAAAAATATGATGTAGATGCAGACTTATCCAGTCGCCTCTCTGACAGCTCTGCTATTTTTATGCTAAATTTATGCTAAATTTTGGATCTTATGTCTATTTTACCAGTGTTGGTGGTGCTTTTTGTGGTTGGCTTTGGACAGTGGAGACTTGTGACTGTGAGTCACTCATCAAGATGAGGAAATCAACTCACCAGGCTGTAAGCTCTTCTTCTGCTGACTTCTAGCTAGCTAGCTGCTAGCTAGTCAGGTTGATGTTTTCTAATTTAAAAATCAGTACAGGCATTGGAAAATAAACTGGACAACCTCTGTGCCTGCATTTGTTTCCAGCTGTATATCAGGAACTGTACAATCATTTGAGTCACTGAAACTGCCAAATCCTGGACAGCGCCATTCAGCTAGGTGAATTGTTTAATTTTATGTGACAAATTAATGATTGGTTGGTTGGTTGGTTGGTTGGTTGATCTGTTACAGTTATCATCAGAAATTACTTACAAACAGGAAGGCTTGAACAGTGTAGTCAATATGTCAACAAAGTCAATGCCATCTAATGCCGGAATTCCACTGGGTGTGTGTCCGTTGTGCAATGGCAGCGCTGGTTATCTGCTGCGTGCTCCGCCGTCCGTCAACACCCACCGGCTGGGTTTGCTGTGCGGAGCGGTGCAGCTCCGCCGGAAGACATCTCGGTGCACTGCCATGACTAATATCTCCTCGTCCATGGTGTCAACAGGGTGAAATGACATCTGAAAACCTCTGACCTGTTGACTTCAGGCCTGCCCCTGCCCATTATGTAGTTTTCAAGGTGTAGTGCAGGGAAATATGATCCGCTGTGAACACTGTGTATTTTATTTTGAAAATTAACCAGATGTTTTATTTTGTTTCTGTGCATGACTTCCTGCCCCGCATGATCTGCTCTGTGCTGAATTGCTGTGTTGTGCTCCGGCGTCCGGCAAAAATAGAAGTCCTGCGTATCTGTTGCGGAGGGCTCCGGAGTGCCGAAGCTGAGACAGAGCTAGAACGCAGCACAAACACACACATTGACTAGAGTTGAATCCTATCGGCTCCGCTGCCATGCCGGAACACAGGCAACACGCATCTGGTGGAAATTGGGGGTTAGAGACAGAATGAACATGGTTTGTAAAGTGTTCAGTTTACTTTGCATTTCATCTCTACAATTACATTGCAGGAAGCACATGGCATTCAAATTGACATTCACCTTCTCTAACAACAGCAAAAACCTGAAAGAGAAAATAATATAGTATTAATTTAAAAAATGTAAAAGAAATTAGAGCACATTAAATGAAATTCCCTTTTTGGTTTCCACTACTACAGCCACATGAAGCGGAGTGAGAGAAATTTCCCAACCTGCGATGCTACTTGACCATCTGTGCTGACTGCCCTGAATTTGCCATGTCAGCACAGTTAGCATGATCTTAGATATCACTGGTTATGACTGAATCTGACCTTAAATCAGGCTCAAAGGTGCACGTCGTGACCCAAACATCAGTTCAGTCTCTCTCCTCCACCTCCTCTCTTCCTCGCAGGCTTTTAAAGCAGTATGACCTCACCATAAGGAAAGAGTCTTTTTCCAGCTGTCGCCAATGTTTTCTACACATGCCTCTTTGCTCCCTCTGTCCTCCTTTTTCATCTGCTCTATTCTCCACACTGCTGCACTCCTCATTTTTCCTCTCCTTTCCCCTCTCTCTTGTTATTCTCTTTTTCCTGTTGCAGCTTTTGGTGGAGTAATTTAGGAGACATAGATCTCTCCCTGTCTCTCAGTTTTACATGTTTACTCCTTCCCTCACTTTTTCTTTTCCTCTGCCTCTCTCATTTTTCCTCTTGTTGGATATTTTTTAAGGAGTAATCCGTGAGAGACTAATCCATCGATTGTTTTTACATGTTTATGTTCTCCTTGTCTCTCTTAAATGGTTTTTAAATGAGTAAATCTGGGAGAAGGGGATGTTCATGTTGTCTGTGACTGTTGTCTCCTCTTTGTGTGTTTGTCCAGGATTTTGAGGGAGCATTTAGGGGAGAAGGAGGTGCAGCTATCCTTAACGTTTGATGCTGTGGAGGAGGCAGACCTGGCCAACTACACCTGTTATGTGGAGAACCACATAGGGAAGCGCAGCGGGAGTGCTATACTGCAGAAGAAAGGTAGATTACTTTCTCCTCCTCTTTCCTTCCCTTCCTCCAATTTTATTTTTAATCAAAGAAGTGACTCAAATGTTGAAAAATCTGCAATTACATTATCATCTCATTACTGTTGCTTCTCTTCAAACAATAAATCTGAGTGACTGACGGATAAAATGAATGAATTCTAACAGCTTGCCAGTAAATTGCTCATTTGAAAAACAGCAGCATATGGTTAAAAATTATTTTGTCTGTACTACTAGAAACCAACATCATGAACAACATTATCGTCATCCAAATATATATTTATTTAATTGATATAACACTAAGTCAAAATGAAACAACAACAAAAATGAACTTCACAAGGAAGGACAGGGAATGTTAAATAGGGCATAGAACAAAGCCCTGTGGCATCCCATAGCTGTTTTCTGAAGCCATATTATCCCCGGGAGAAAAATATAAAGTAACAAACTCAAAAGTGAGAACTAAACTGTTGTTCTGAAATTGATTGGTTATTTGCCAAACTCATGCAACCAGCAACTTACTGATGACACACCAGGCGTGATTATTTTGTAGGAATATATTGCACAACAAGTTAAAAAATTTGAGCCCACTTATCTCTGTGTGTCTATCCACACCGAATCCGAAATTTTGAATTCTGTGCTCCCACTTTTAAAATAATGGCGTTTGCCCTTGCCGTCAGTAGATTTTCACGGTCTTCATAACGCCGTATGACAATATTGATATTGAGCTCACAAAATAGTGTTTCGCAAATTTACACAAAAAATATGATGGTGTGAAAAATTAGCTAAAAGTGATTTTTTTCCTATTATATCATTGTAATGACTTGATTCTGATATTATTGCAGATAGCTGCTTTTGACCTAGCATTAGCCTTTTGCTTATTATTATTATATCTGAATCATGTGATTACAATGAAGGATAGCCGAGCTCGACAACTTCCTAAGCTACAACCATGGCATGATAAATGTTTTTCAGCTGTGTGTACCACTTTTTGCATCCCCTGAAAACAGTGTCTGTTGTGTTATGAGCTTCTTGCAGCGCTTACTGTAAATGCTGATGTTTTTGTGTGTTGTCATTTGCTTGTGCTGTGTTTGTTTGTGTGTAGTTCTTAATTTGCAGTGCACTGAACTCTCAGAGCCACCATAGAAACAGCTAGCACCTCTAGAGTTCACTAATTAGCACATTGTAAAATTAAGTCATTCCACCTAGCTGGTGATCGCCTACAGGTGACATTCACGTTTGTGTAAAGTTTAAATTGTCAAATAGACAGTAAGTTAAACAAGAAGCCAGGTTCTGGGTTTAAAGCTTTCACAGTGTGTTGTCCCAAAAGCAGTGTTTTTTTTTTGTTTTTTGTTTTTTTTTACCCTGACATGCTATATATAAAACTGTATCTGCTCTAGTTAACTGGGCCGTATTCCATCTCTCTTTATGATTCTATTAACAAGTAATACAGCTCAGGAACTGATGCTACTTTTATGGCCCAGTAAATATTTGTGGATGTGAACCGCTTCCAAGATAATTAAGACTTTAAATGTTTGCCATCATCATGAAATGTGCAAGATATAAAAGCCTTTCCAAAAATTAATTTCAAACATTTGGGTAGCTGCTCCCACATATATATACAAACAGACAGAATAGAAGATCCAAGTACAGTACTGGACATGATTGACAGGCAATCATTAGAAATGATGGTGAAAAAACATCACAGCACACAGCGTGGAGCACCACATATGGAGACAAAATAAGAAAAACAGTATCTCATAGTTACAGCTTTAAATATTCAGCTGAAAAATGCATGAGGGCACAGCTCCCTTTGTAAAACATTTGCAGCAGTCCTGCGGTATCTTGCTTTCCATCTGAAAAGCAGAGAGAACGGGCCTGTTTGAGTCAGAGGCCACGACCCGCAGAACGAGAAGGAAACCTAGAGAGACAAATCGAAACAGAGAAACAGCATTGGAGGAGGCGATGAGTTGTCTCTGTTACCTCAAATTTCAGTGGAAAAGAGGGCCGTGTGAAAGCCCACTATATGAAATAAATATATGTAATGCAGAGAAGCAGGGACGGGGAAAATTAGGGGGGAAATTTGGAAAGAGATAAACAGGCACAGAAACAGTGGGAGACGGAACAAGGCAAGGGAATGGAGAACAGGGGAGAAATAATAGATGCAGACAGAGAGATAAAGATGCGGAAGCTGAAGGGTGTATGAGAAAATTTGGCGAGATGAAGTGAAGAAAAAAGGAGAAAAGAAGAGAGAGAGGAGGACTAAAAACAGCTCTTTCTCACTCCCTGTCTGACTCCTGCTGAATGCCTTGGGTGTCAAATCTATCTTACTATACTTAACTAGCACCCTAGGGACTCTCACACACAGGCACAAGCACACACATAGGATCACACGGATACATACCTCCACAGTGGGTCAGGATGAGAACTGTAGGGTCGTCATTACCTCACTGTAATTAACTGGATGAATACAAGAGCGTGTGCATATGTGTGTTTGTGCACAAAGCTTTACACTAAAACAACAGGCAACATTGCTATAGTTTACAGCATGCTTATGTGTGTGTGCATGTGTGTGATTAGACCTGACACATGCGCACAGAAACACACACACACACACACACACACACACACACACCTCTCATGGGAGGCATTAAGTGTAGTGGAATTGTTTAAAAGCGTGGTCCTGGATTTGAGTTTACTTCGTCATACACACGCACAGTATAAAGTAGCTGCAGCTTGAAGCAGGTATCAGTACATGTTGAAAGTGTCCCTGTCAGCTACAGCAGCAGAGTGCTTTCTGTGTAGCTGCTCCATCAACTTCAAATGTGATCTCCTTCAAATGTAGCACAATGTGAGGGTTCTTGGGACGTGCTAAAGTTGCCTGAGCATCAGCCCATTTCCTCTCTGTAGCTGAGCTGCCCCTCTGGTGGAAAAAAATAATAACTGTTTCACTTTTGCTGTGGTGGGAGAGAAATATGAGTAGCCCATAATTATCCAAGTTAGACCATCCTGTTAAAAAAAAAAAAAAAATTGATAATATGATCTAACGTTTTATGCTATGACTCCTCTCATGCCACACTGTAGTTGCCCTGCCAACCATTGAGGGCTCCAGAGTGGTGAGACTTTAGGGCTGTGGAAACGATTAACAAGGAGTAGTTTAACCAGTGGGATGCCGTGGGAATCAAAATCCCCTCATATGCTTCCATAGAATCCGCAGCTTGTCACGTTTGTATTCCGTTGCAAAATATTGCCTTTGATTATGCTAGGCAGATGCTACTTGCACCCAGGTGTTTGTAGCCAACAATGCTATTGGCATCTGGGGTGGACTAGCCAATGTGGTGATATTCCTGGGTGCCCTAGCAACATCAAAATATGACATTAACACAAACGAATCTATTCAGCTATACTTCTGAAGTTTATGTACACAGAGTGCATTCAGCAGCATTATACATTCTAAAAACAGGAAACATAATAAGTCAACTAAGTCATTGTGCATTGTGACTAATCTCACCCGGATGCAAAAAGACACTCCGTATGAGGCAATCCCATGAACCAGTCTGACTAACATACAGTGGTGGACAGTAAGCGAGTACATATAATTAAGTACTGTAGTTAAGTACAGTTTTTGGGTATCTCTACTTTATATTTATGTGAAGGCTATCGTTACTTGTTACATTTGCTTTGATGTCAGCGCATGATTTCTTTTTTTCTTCTCCAACACACAACCATAAACTGTGATCATGCAGTTCTGTTGTTTGTCGATGTAGTGTTCCCATACTATTACCTTGTGCATGCGCTACTTTGATTGGGCAGCTCATCTGTAGAGACGGTTAGAGAGGAGAGGTCATCAGCAGACAGTTGTATTTGGTTATGCAGTGTTACTATGGGTACAGCAGCAGATGAAGGTGAAGATTCCCCACTAAATCACCCATGGCCAAATCTCAAGTCCATGTTGATAGTTTTTGAAATAAAGAATAATTCATATCGTTTTAAGTGTTTGCTCTTTCTGCCACACACAAATTTAATCATGGCCTAAAATGATTAACCATCCAAGCTTAGAAAGCATGTTGAGGTATGTAAATAGTGGAATAATATTTTAAACAGTTATCTGTGCTTGTAGTAGTTGCAGTTTTGTGCTATGTTTTGTGAAATGACCGAGTATGGATTTTCCCCTCCAAGTTGTCATACACTGTTAGAAATGTGTTTACTCAGCATTTTCACTTTAGCTGTGGATTCACATAGGTTTACATTTCTGGCAATGCTGCATAAGAGAAGTTGAATTAACCTTGCCTGCAAATTAGGACTTGGTTCTAAAAGCAAGTCACTGCATTCAGTGGAAGGTTCTGTAAATATATTATGACAATAGACTACCTTTTGAGATTTTTTTTTTTCAAGTACTTTGAATACTTAAGTATTTTTAAAAGTAAGTACTCCAGTACTTTGAACCCTAAAGTCCCCCATTTGGGGTGATGTTGCCCATCAAATTTAACAGCAGAACCTCAGCTACAAGGCTGTAAAAAAACTTTTTACATGCCCCAAACTCAGTTTTAACATCAACTAAATAAACAACAACAACAACTAACTCCAACAATTCCAAACAGCACCGATATCCTGACCCACTTGGTATATTTCGGGCTCTAACTCGACCACACGTTATTCAAAACACACACCGTTCATATCAAATGAAAGCTGAGACTCCACTCTTTCCACATGTATACTCCAAATCACTCTCCCTTTAACCATCACAGAGCTACAGCCCAAAGAACAACAACAACAGAAATCTCTTTGTCAAAATATAATTGTAATATGGCTCTTACCTTATTAATTTCGCCGTAAAATGCGCATTCTGCTGTTCATTCACGCTCCGTTCGTGTACTACCAGAAGTTGTCCGTCATTCAAATGAATCCGGGCTAAAAAAAGGTTCCAGGGGAAACATAACAATGAACACTCACAGCAGCCGACATCTCCCCACAACGTGTTCTGCTGACTCTGATTGGCTT